ATGTAGTTTGTGGTGCGCAATTACAATGCACGTATACTAATTAAAGCACATTACATAATTACACATACAGATATAAATTTACATAAACACACATACACATGTATACCAATACCTATATAACACAGATATTACAGAGATATATTTATAATCAGATAAAAATCTAGTTCAGAAAGTTGCAAAAGGCCCACAAGAAAATGTATTTTAGAATAAGAATTTAATAAAATAGATAATAAGTTAGCAATTTGGAATATTTTGTTTGCGTATGTTACATAATCATGTATAAAAACAATAATTAATGCAGTTTTGAAACAGCGATATACCGGTACTAGTAAGATTCCACATCGCAATATTGTATCCTGAACTGTGTTGGTTTGTCTGTGTTTACTGCTGTTGATTGTTACAATATAGTGATATTATTGAGTGATAGCTCATTCCATGGTTCGAGCAGTTTTTCCCGGCAGCAGCATACAGTATTTTTGAAAGGGTGAGTAGAAAAAGTATACGATCCGAACCGAATTGGAACCGAACTTTTAATAAGCACACCAATTACGTAATAACTGTAATGCAAGACTTCATCCAGAACTTAATATATAATATCTTTTAAAATCCATATTAAACACACGCCTACATTTCAAAATATCTGTATGTATGGACGCGTACCTGCTTGATATAGATAAAAAAACCGGCTGTTTGTCGCAGAACTGATCGATATTAAATTGGACAAGCCTGTCAGTTACCTAACTCTCACACTCGTATATTCACTGACAGTGAAAGTGAACTTTTTAATTATTTTTTTAAACCAACAAAGATGACACAGCGTTTTGACTGATACGGAATGCTAATTTAAATTTGATGAAAAATTTACTCGCACGGCAATGTTTTGATTTGAATATTTAATCTTAGAATTCATTTCTAATATCAAAATTTGGATTTTTTCGAAACGCGATATCCCAAAAAATTACGAAGGATAGATTAGGTTTTTTTTGGATTTTTGGGTATTATTTCACTTAGGTGAATTCTTCCAAGATGAAATGAGGACACCAAAAAAATATACTTTATTCACCCGGGTGATACCACCCAGGTGAACATAGTGGATTAAACCATGTGAATGGTGAAATGATGAGCTGTGTGCTTTAAACTCTATGTTTTTACTACTGGAGCAAAAATAAAATGAAACAATATTCACAAGCAATAGTGTTAACAACGTGACGGTTAAAACTCCGGACTAGCAATCAAAAGATAGTAATAGTGAATATGTTTGACCAATATTCATAGTGCATTATACTAAACATATATCTACGTGTGTAAGTATACTGGTTAGGTACTATCCATACTTCTATCCTTGTATTATAAAATTGAAAGTGAATTTGTTCATTTGTGACGCTTTCACACCTAAATCTCCAAAGCGTTTTTAAAAATTCTATCCAATGTAAAGCTCCATAATCCGCGGTTATACCGCGATAACCGACATACAATTGGCAGAACCGAGGGCAAAACCTAGTATAGTATATAAAAATATGAAAGTGAGTTTATTTGTTACGCTTTCACGCCTAAACTACTAAACTGATTTTTTAAATTATTTCACTAGTAGAAAGCTACATTATCAACATGCAACATAGGCTACTTGGTTTCGCGATTTACCTGCACACGGGCAGAGCCGCGGGTAAAAGTTTGTTATTTATAAAAACACCTTAAAAAAGAGTGTTTAATTATGAAATAGTATTTGAGAAAAGTAATAGAATAGTTATACCCCTATCTTGGCTGACACTTTGACAACAAAGGGATAAAAATTAAGTAATACAAAATTTTCAGATATAATTTAAGAAAAGTATGTTAACTAAAAATTATTGACTTGTCTCTGTACGTATTCTTGTATACATATAATACAATATTATATATGTATACTTGAATATCATAAAGTTGCGCCATTTAACGAAAAAACGTGTGTGATCTAAATATGATTGTTTTATCCAAAGTATCTAAAACCACTCTACAACTAAGCAGTTTTCTTTGTTAATAACCGAACAAAGAAAACTGGTTGGCTAACCACTAAGTACGTATAAAATAAAATAAATGTATATACTAATATAATAAAAATTACAATTACATTATAAGGGTTTTTTAAAATGTGAACAACGTAGCCAACGCTTCAAATAAACTACACTGAACATAAACACAAAGTACATAATAATCTAGAATTCATTTATTTTAATAACAAAATCTTTGGATGCTAAATATTAAGTAGAACGGTCTGCACTTAATCGTAAGATAAATTTGGACTAATTTAATAAAATGTTTTTGCAAATAAAGAATGCTATTATATGATTTTATTGCTACAATAGACTATTGTGAAGTAACACCGACTTCAATAGTCTCAAAGAACTTCACTAGTAAGAAAAGAGAAACATTATAAGGAGGCGGGGAACGTTAAAAGTCTGAAAAATAATACATTCAAATTCTAAATAGTCGTAAGAATTAGAATCATTTCTGATTAGTTATATTGATAAAGTCAAAAGTGTCTGAGGGTCCAAAATCGGTCGGATTCATTTGTCTATCTCCCAATATAAGCCTGCCTTAAAATAACCACTCAGCAGAACCCAAAATCAAATGACACATAACTTACCGCGTAATTGTTATTACCCAAATAATATACGCCGCAAATATAAAATGAACGCATAATGGTAGAGCGCTATCGTTTTCTTATTGTTTTAATTGTATTACAAATTTAACATTTTATGTTTTTATTTTATTAAAAGGGGATACAAAATATTTTCTTTCAATTTTAACAGGAGCTGGAATATAATGCTTATAAACACACGATTTTATTTGGTATCTTTAGTTGGATGATGTAAGGTAAGATAAGAATGATTTCACGAACTCGGTTGCCAGTTTTATTCTCTTTTTTTTTTGGTAGCCGCCTGATGTAGTGAATGTCTTTTAAGGAGCTGATACATGTGAGAAATACATTTTATGGTCTGTTACACATTTAAAATCGACAGCGATCCAGTTTTCATCACGTATTCTCGGTAGTCTTTTTATAGGTATGTACCTACAGTTGTGTCGTGGGTTGCAGGATTGCGAATTCGTTTTGCGTGGAATTACTCTGATTAAATCTTTAGTAAAATATGTTGCAGTTTTGTAAATTACACTGATTTGTTCTGATATGCCGCTTTAGTTAAATCTACATCTGTATTTTATTCTTTTAAGTTGGATGGTGTTTAAGTGTTTAATTTTGTTATGTATTTTGTGACATAACTCATTGATAATATACCCACTAACCTAAAGCACTTAATGTGTATATCCCTAGTTTTGATAAGTATAAACACACGTGATGTCTATAGATCTCTCAAAAAAAATTTAAAATAAGAATCTTCAAAAGGCATTTCATCCTAAAACGTCAATCGGTTTTAAATTACAATTACGCGGTGAAAGCATGACGTGATGGTAGAATTTATTAAACAGGATTCAAAAAAGCCTGCGATCTATGAACTGAATTGATACGACAATAATTATAATCTACCGTATTTAATTAAATATGGCTACAATATTTCTAATAACTAATTTTTTTTATTTTTTTCAATCATTATTAAGTACTATTTTGCTATCATAAACACTTATGCAAGTTAAATAAATGTCTCTCTTTTATCGCCCTAAAAGGAGTGTAAAAGGAATGAATAGCTTTAACAATAAGAGCAGGTTGGTTGATGTCGAGTACTACTGGAACATAATGAGTAAAACTCAAACAAAAAACTTAGCCGTCGGATTGCGACGGCGGGCGGTGCACTGCCGGCGGCGGGCGGCGCAATCGTAACTAACTGTTCTGGTTTACTAGGTCGAATAATCTTATTTATTTGATTTTTTATTTATTTGTCACTTACAGTGAAAATAATAGTGAAACTAGACCCTTCACTTTTGTTTTTCTTACTTCTGTGGATGACATAAATAAATTCTTCAGTTTTTATTTTGCAAAAATAAGGATTATGGATATTTTTTTTTATTGATAACATAATAGTTTGAAACGTATAACAAGGAATGATTAGATTTTTAATAAACGTCTATTTTGGACATCAGAACGACAATAAATTGAAGACGACAAATTATATTCAAATTTATGTAAAACAAATAACTTCTAACTATTCATCATTTAAATTACACACACACAGTAAATTAATCCTGATATATTCAAAATCATTAAGTGACCATATTGTTTTATCATTAATATGATATCCATTAATTCAAAGAACACCTTTTATCTTTACTTTATTCTGAAATACATTTTACACACACTTTTATTGTGATAAGTTTAATTTCTAATGTTAATAAAAGATATTTAATTTTTAGTAATAAAGATATTTATTTGAAATATACAGATAAATTTCATCAGATATATACAATACATTGTGTATAACTGAAAAGAATATGCTTTGTTTAATTAGTTTCAGTATTACAGTAAATAAGAGAAAACTATTTGTGCAAAATTTTAGATGAAAAATAATTTTCATCACAAGTATGTAGTATGTAAAAATGTCACATACCTGTCACAGCTGAAAATATAAAAAGCTTCAGGTGATGCCCTTCAATAGTTCTATAATTTTAGTACCGCTTAAATTATTTTCTTCAGTACCGCTTAAAGTATTTTTAGAATAAAGTTTTATTGAAAATATCCTTTCGTTGTGAATACGTTTAATTACACAGAGTATCGGTTTCACTTTCTCATTACACTTTTATTGCGTTCCATCAAGTACACACACAATTTAAAAAAGTTAGTTGCGTTCAGTAAGCCACTGAGCACTTGTCCATAAAAAATATCCATTCCATCACTATAAGGGTGACTTATTTTTTTAAAGTGTCCGCGCGAGCTTAAAGCTGCGGAGCGATACTATGTGCGCGTGCACAGTTCGGCGTGGCATCGCGTTATCAGCGCGAGCGGCGCGCCGCGCGACAACAACAGAACTTGAGAGTCGATCTCAATAATAACAAGAAAAGAAAACGGTCCAGTTTCAGCGCGGGGCTTCCGGATGGGTCGCGGACGGGGCGCGGGCGCAGGCGATGGTACTGCTCGCACGTAAGGCGGTGTTTCGCTCTCTTTGTCTAACGGTACCGATGCGCGCGCGCCGCGTGAACGATAGCGCGGCTAGTCGCGAGCGCGACGCCGACCCGTGCGCTCGGACACACAGCTTGCACACCTCAATACCTATGTGCCGTTGTTTTCCCGCCATTTTTACGTGAATGAGATCGATTCTTGCTTTGTTTGATAATTTTAAATTTAAAAAAAAATATTTGATGTATGGTAATTCATTTAACTATTTTACTTTTGCAATTTGCCATTAAATTTTTCTTTTAACAATAATCAATCATATAAACGAATTGTTATCATTTATATATCTTAAATCACAACTAATATTTAGTTACAGAGTACTAGTAACGTTAGTAGTAAAACTATTTAGAAAATACTTACTAGGCCTGTTTTTTGCATTAATGAAATGCACGTTATGAAGTGAGTTCTTGCCGCGTTGATGTCTATTGTATGAAAGTAATAAACTCTCTCGTTAATTTTGTCAAAAAAGTTGATTTTTCGATAGTATTGAATAAGAATTACGAAATATTGAATATTGAAGTGGAATATTATTTCAATATAAATATTTTTAACGTAACTTATATTCTTCACCATTATTTTGGAAGATAAGCATATCTCGAACATAATAAATAAGGCGAGTAACCATGAGTTACATTACATTTTATTAAAGCAGTTTCTTCAAACAACAAAAAAATTGATTGCCACGGGGCTTTTTGTGCGATACACTGTACGACGCCTTATTAAAATGCAATAAAAGCCATGACATTTAATCGTTTTTCACGAGAATTTACCAAAATTCAAACAAACACAGGGCTCGTTAAGGTTGCCAACATTATTACTTTAGCTTTTTTGGAGACTCGGACGTCTTTTTACATAATATCGATGTAAATTGTAAATTGGATTGTATAAAATTACACATCAGTTTGTAAAACAAACATAACTTACTTCACTAAGTGTTATAAGAACTCTTATCTTTAATAGATAACATATTATCTTTTCAAGGTAAGATGTTTTAATATTTTCCAAATTTCATTATGTTTGCCAATAGAAAAGTTTTGTTTTTAAATATGTTGACTTAGTACCCATCTATATAATTCAACGGTTCTGATAAATTATATAAATGGTTTTATTGAATACACTTAAACACAAAAATTGAGAGTACATTGGAAAAGTAAATTTATTGGCTAGTTCGTATTAAACATATGTTGTTGTGGTCAACTTTGGGGGAGGCCTATGTCCAGCAGTAGACATAGGGAGTCGAGGCTTGCCACATTTATCAGACTTTCGTTACCGGTACTTTGAAATTCACCCTTTTTCAACATACAACATATCTCGTTATATGCCTGCAGTATGCTACTCATAGTAGTCTTTTAAACTCTTCACTCACCCTTTCAACGTATTCGAACAGTAAACATTCCTTTCAAAATGATTGTTACAACATCTTCTTTCAACCCATACTATTTTCTTACATCATTCTCTAAGCTATCAGCTAATCATATATTATGCATACTTATTACCGAACATATTTGTACAAAATTAATTCATTTCATATTTCTCCAGTCTCAGTCAACTCCTATTCCTATACATTAGAATAGGGAATATACCCCTGTTGGGTTGGTTGGGTAAAGAGTTATTTTATGCACATGCTGTCTTTATATTTGTAACAGTCGTAAACCATTGAGACTGAACTGTTTAAAAACTGGTTTTAATTTTTAAACGCTTCTGTTTTCACATGCTGATTTTCACAATTACCATTAATGCATAACCATTAATGCATTGTGCTTCTATAAGGATTGGATACTTTGTTAGACACTCTTATAAGCAGTGTGTTCCGTACTTTTTGGTGAACGTCGTGGAAATTACTCAGTTCATTATGTTAAAATCAACACCGCAGTAACTCTTCATTAAGGTGGCCGCAGGTTGTACCAAAACTATACGATTTATTTCGATATACGAGTTTTACGTATTTTCTTTGCATTGCCGTGTTTGTCGTGTTATTTCCTATTGAGAGCACTAGCACAGCTCGTATTGGAATACTCGGCATAGATATATCGGCTGAAGTCTTGAAGCGTCGAAAAAGCTGCTGAACCGATTGAGACAGCATTTTACCTCGGCCCTTTGCCCATAAGTTTATAAGATACTGTTCTCATCTCTTTGCATGGGCATACCACTGTTAACTTCTTTCTCTGAATCGCAATTAAGAAAGAGCGACGAGTTGTCGATTGCCAGAATGTTTCTGATCGGCTTGACCCCTGGTGTTGTGTAGATATGTGACTTCACTCTGTCCATGGAGAGTGCTACGAGGAGTTATTCGGACTTTCACCAGCCGCAGCTTTTTATCATCGTCCAACACGGAAAAATTTCCATCTCTTCTCGTATTTCAGCACTTGGCACCATTTCCTTGCCTAACACAACTAACCTTTGAAAAAATTGTAGCCTGCTTTATATCTGGACTACAATATTTTACATGTGTTTCTTGTTTCTTCTCAAATTTTCTCCTAGCAATTTCATTCGTCTTTAAGGCGGCATAGTGAAAAGTTTGAGTTCAATCGAACTTAAGCTTAGAATTTGGCTAAAAGGGCTGTCTTGGCCTACACTTATTAGCTGTACCTACGTAAAGCCAATTGCGGTCCGACCGTTTTATTAACCTATGTAGAAATCAGAATATGCTAATTCTAAACCTATTTAGCTGTGTATCAGTAACACAATAGCACAAGCCGTTTGCCACAAATTGTCTGAGTTACAGTTTTATATGTATTCATATCATATAGGTACTTATCATTTTGTATGTGTTATTGTTGAAGATAGACATGTAATTATTTACGTCTTCGGTAGGCGCTCTCGCTTTGTGCGAAGTTTCGTGTGAAATCACATCGATAATGGAACAGTTCAAGGCTTTGGGAGATTTTCTGCATTGTCTAAAAAAAGATACGCATATACTCCTTTGTTTTATGAACCGAATGACCTTTGAATGTATTAAAGACGATATTCAATTGAAATGGTTTGGAATGGATTTGAATTCTTTTTTCGGTGTGATTTCAATGATCTGAGTTTTGCACCAGTTAGTGAAACAAACCGTTTAAATTGTTTATAAAGAGTATTTTACAGTATTCCAAAGTATAAAAGGTCTAATAGATCTAATTTTATTGGCTAATCTAATCTTAAAAGTTCAATGGATACATCAGCTCAAAAATATTTGTAATAGAGTTAGATGAAAGAATATATTTTTTCAAACTAGTCGTCTTCAACTAGATACAATTTGCGATAGCTAATAAAAATTAAATAGTGAATAGTTGACTGCACGGATGGCGCAGTGGTTTAAGCGCCGAGTGTTGTGGGTTCAAACCCCACATGGGACGAAACTTTATGTGATCCACAAATTGTTGTTCTGAGTCCGGGTGTTTTTCGTGTCCGTTTTATGAATGTTTGTAAAGTCCCCCGCGACACAGGAATATATTCCTAATGCGGGAGTTGTCTTTTTAAGAAAAACAAAAGTGACCCAAAAAAAATCATCTCATTCCTACATGTCAATCGTAATACTTTTACCCTGATTAAGGGAGCACGCAGTGAAAGGTTAAATTTAATCGAAATAATTATATTTAAATTATACAGATGGTAAAAAGGGCTTTTTTACAATATACTGTACGTTTTGGAGCCTACAAACATTAAATGATTGTAAATAATATTTGATGTAGGGACTGGTCACCTGATGGTTAGTGACTGACACTACCAACTCATGACACAGACAAAGCACATTGGCACCCTTAGAGTACACCCTAGAGCCCAGAAACTATTTACATTTAGAATAAAGTGATTATAATTATGGCACAAAATATGTGTCGCTGGAGTACAATAAAGATTCAGCCTAATGGTACCATAAAAATATCGTAGAAATAATTTGTCAGTAAAAATCAACATCCCATCGAGATGTAGTGAAGTAGTTGCACTGTTTTGTACGAAGTTAAAATCTATACACCAATCGAATACATCGCGTATGTCGTAGTCGTGTCGGGTGCTGTAAACCATCTTTCATATGAAAATTATACTGTACATTGAAAAAGTTGGCAATTCAGTATGTTGACACAGTATATCATGTTGCGGGCGCTGCTATCATAAAATCGCCATTACTTTCTGTTTCAATTAAATGCAACGTTTATCTCCAACTCTTTTATAAATTATATAATCTTGTACCATTATATATTTCATGGCTTTTATTGCTAACGTCTAGACTTTTAAGTTTTAGTTTATAGATAATGTTGTTGGTCAAAACCATTAATGTACCAGTTATGGTGTTCTTTTAGTTGATTCAATTTCAATCTTTACGCGACGACGATTACAGAAGGTATGATAAAGTGTTACAGTACTTATAACAAGCACACTCAATGTCTCTCTCGGAATACATTCTCTATATCTAATATTTTTAATTCAAGTGCAGGACACTACCGAAAGGTTCGTCAATTCGCGTGGCAGAAAAGTACAGCCATCAACGCATTATTAAAGTTCTCATTTTAACAGTTAAACCTGTGTTAGTAAATCGTTTATATATTTTAGAAAACTAAGACAGTAACCAAGCATGCAGCAGCTTTCTTGTTTTAATAAACATGATGTAAACGAAAAGCATGTGCTTATCGGACATCTAGTCATTAGACATATTTATGTCTGTTTGATATTCACTAGAGACAAAAAACTGGACTAGATTTGTCCACACACTACACACATAGGGATAAAACGAATATTCGCTTTATCTTGATGAAATATGGAGATAACTTTAATTCTTGGCCTTGTACTTCCATATTTTTTTGCACATATAAATAGAAATATAAAGTTTTTATGTTGTAGAACTATCCAATCGCTAAAACAGGTTCGATAAAACTTTAATTACTCTTCCGTATCTTAAATAAATTAATAATAATCGGTATGTTGACACAGCTTGATATTTTTTGGGAGGATGTGCACATTTACCGAAAAGAGAATGATTTATATTTTTCATCTTGAGATTTTAAGAAAACACATTGTAAATTACTAACTCTCATCTCATGATCGAATAGTATGCTCTGTTTCAATAAAACTCTGATACGTATATCGTGTTGTGCCCTCAGGTGTTGTGCGGTAAGTAGTTTGCAAGTAAGTCATGGGCCACTT